TGCAGGTTTCCTCACGATGTTTTCCTTCACCGCCGAGCACGTGGTAAATCAGCACTTAAAATTGCAATTAACAATTTCATTGGTGCCGGCGGGGATCGAACCCGGGTTACTCGCGTTCTGTTATATTTACAGCGAGCGTTAACCACTGAGCTACCACGGCTCTGTAATAAATTAAATCTAATCCAAAATATAGGTACTATAATACCATAGCAAAGCTACTACTATTTTTTTAGTAGTAGCTTATATAGTAGTATAGTAAATTATATATAAAACAAATATGAGTATGTCTGAGGTAAGGTTAAATATAAACAAATATTTTGCCAAGTGCGAATCGGGCTTCCGAGCTTCCGAGATTACAAGATTTAAATACCTATACATATTACTATCGATCAAAAAAGCCAAAAATACACGTTTCTTTTTCTAGTAGAAAATCCTTTAATTTCAACAATAGGTATATTAGGATATGAGATTCCTATACGTAACGATTATCAAAAATCTAAAAATTACCTATTCTAATTCAATTAATAGATGATTTTAAGATTTTCGATAATCGTGCTTATCTGTGAGATGTTTTCGTTAGTTAGCAAATTAAAGTAGTTAAGTACCTAATGTACTATCTGTATCGAAAGTTCATTATTATGTACCAACTTGTTTTCAATTTTAACTAAATGTGCTTCAACAAACTTACGGGAACATTTTAGCAGCTATATTCATACCGGCTTCAGCAATGGACACGAACAAAAAAAGGAAGCAATTTTTCTAAATAAAGATGTAGATAATTACAACCATAAATAGATAGCAGCGGCTAAGCTAGTGAGTATGTGTGAGTGCGCGCTGCGTCCCCCTCCGTTGACATGTTTATGAATTATATTGTAAAAGTATGGAATCTCTATGTCTATAATAGTATCGTAGACAGAGAATGCTAAGACAGAGAATCTGTCTACGTCTAGTATATATTCAGTATTTCAGTAATCTATGATATGGAAGATGGTGCATATCACAGAGTACCTTTGTATAAACTAAAATATTACGATTTCGGCAATTGCTTTAGTAGAACTTTCTTAAGTTTTGCTTAGCTCGGAATAAGTGCTTACGTGACGAGGTCTGAGATGATTTTTAAAATTGGTATTTCTACTAGTTTTAACCATCTGTTTACACATTTTACATTGTCAACCCATGTCAGATTTAATAAAAAGGCCCACATGTTTGATTTGGTTGATAGTACCATATTAACATTACTTTAAAATAATAGTTTACGCTCACAGAACACTCACTCGTGCCCAACCAAAAGGAGTTGAAAAAAGGTTACGGTTCAGTTGATGTTTAGATTTTAGTTGTATAATTTTTTCATATGATCTAAGAGGCATACGATTCGATCTGGGTGAAGATCGCATTCCCGTGAATCGATTCAAAAATCGGTAGATCATATGGCCGTGAATCGATCTTCTAGAAAATCGATTCAGATCGGGCATCCCTGTAGACACAATTTTCCCAAATTGTCACTCACTCCTACACACCCAAACACACTTACACACACCTACATACACGCAGACGCGCGTATATATACCATTGGGGTGAATATTATTAGTTTTTTTATTTTAATTTTATATTTAATTATTATGTAAAAATAATGCAAATTGCTTTTAGTAATTTAAGTGTTATGGAAGAGTGCTATCTCCTAACACAAGTTTTTATACTTAAACGGAGACTTCATCCCCGGTTATAATTTATGTATGATAATTTACTGAATAAACTATTTTTATTTATTATTATTATTAAACTAATAATAGAAAAATTTACTACTTTTGTAATACTTTATTATAAAATCTAAACAAAAAATAAAAACCTGTTCGACAGACAAACCCGAATGGGTTAATTAACTTATCGATAGCTAAAGTTGTGGTGTACATCACTACATTGCAGTATTTACCACCACCACCATTGATTTTTTTTTGATACCACTTAATTTCACTATACAAAACTATAAACTGGTGCATATTTTTGAAAACACCGAATACCTTTGTGTATAATAAACTGAATTTTAAAAACTCCAATTTATCGATGAAAAGAAGAATTCAATTATATTAAAGCTAAAGGAAACAGGGATGTCCTTAAGTGAAGTTTGTAGAATTTGTTTAAGCGTTAATGTACGCATTTTGGTACTAAAGAAAACTGGTCTTCAAAATTTGTACAAAACATTGACGAACACTTTTGTAAGTTTGTTAACATTTCTTATTATTTTTTATATTTTCATTAGTTATTACAGTTGCCGTAATTGGTTGTTATCACCGGAAAAATACATTATATAACTTGCCTGGTATAAAATGCGATAGATCGTGCCTAGGCTAAGTTGCAGCGTTAAATTTAGTGACAAATGCAACCATAACCTGAAAAACAAGTTAGCCTGAAACAGCCTGAAACCCTGCCACGTACTAGAAGGGACACTAAGACTTAGTTGTTATCAACACGCGTTAGATCTCGCGGGCTCTAACTTAGCCTGTGCCATTAAAGGTACCTTATGCCTTCCACGCGACCCTCACTGCTGCATAGATTTTTAGCGGTGTGTGTTCTAGTACACATTACCGAGTATTATTGCGATTTTATGTCAAGAAATTAACATCAAAACTGGTTTGGTCTTTCACCCACTTAAAGCTGTTCTATCGGACTATTAAATTGGGAGATTAGAGTGCATATGTGCTTACAGACACAGAAATTCTCATATTTGTCATATACCTATCGGACTGAGTAATCAGAGAAGGGAGTAATAAGCACATGTGCTTGCTTACCTACATATGCAATATAATCCTGTCCTGTGCTGATATATAGTCACTATAATTGTGACCGAAATTTTGACTGAAAGACATTGTTATCATTATTTTATAAGTGGCAATACCAGCATAAAATAGCAGCTTATTACTGCTCTGATTTTAATGGTAAGTGTAAAGCATGGGACACCCTTTTTACTAAGGCGAGATGTACCATCTTGGTCTACAGGGGTAACAGCACATCGGGTTGGCTATAGACATCCGGTACTTGATTTTGATAATGTTTTTAGTCTAGCAGGCTTGTTAGGGTTAAGCTTGAACCTATTACACTGGTTTTAGATGTCGGAAATGCGTTTTGAATTAATTACGATAAAAACAAATTTTACTAAAAATTGTGTAATAACGAAACGCAAATATGTCAATTGGTTCTCGTATTATGAAGTAGATGTCCGGTACTTGATTTTTAATTTTGTTTTCAATTTAAGAGGATTGTCAGGGTTAAGCTTGAACCAGTTACACTGTTTTTAGATTTTGAAAATGCCTTCTGAATTAATTACGATAAAAATAAATTTTACTAAAAATTGCAATAATAAAGCGCAAATATGTCAATTTGTTTTCTTAACACAGACACACTCATAAAAAAGTTAATCACTCAGACCCAGAATCCATTTGTGGCTGGAGACAGACTTATATATAACAAATTGAGTCGCACTGGAGAGTAATAAAGAGGTTTTTTGGAAAACAAAATTATAACAATTCACATTACATTTTTTCATTTACCACTATCATGGCAGAGTTTAGGGCAAACAGAATTTATAGATAAGATTGATCGAATCGGTTCTAAAACCGAATTAGCACATCCCGACTCCACATAGTCTTGTCTGCTCTACCCCTAGAGTGTTTTTATAAAGCCGTGGGCATGGAGGAAGAGCAGCCCCCGCCCGCTGTAGCAAATCGCAGGCATCTAAGTGAGCGGGCTGAAGCCAAGCGTGAGCAGGTGCTAGGTGATGGTGTAAGCAGAGGTGACGGAAGCCGTGGTGAGGAATTTATGTGTGAGTCGGCAGGTGTTGAGAATGACAGCTTTCTGCAGGGTGTGAAGTGTGTGTGTGTGGGTACTTGCAAAATATCTAGACTGCGTTGTAGGCTTTTAGGTATGACTCCGGTAGATGAGATAACTAAAGGGACTATATACAGTGAATTTCGGTTATAACGACGGCGGAGGGACCACTTTAATGTCGTCGCTATATCCGGAAGTCTCTATATCCGAAATAATAAAAAGTCATGTACATATTTACTTATCATTTATTTAATTATGTTATACACGGGTGTAATTGCAAAACGTGTTATAGTGCACTGTTTAAGTTTAGTTTTTTGTGCATGCTGTAAGGTGTATTCCATTTACATAATTCCTTCAACATCTAAATTATTTTGGCCTTCACCAAATAAACAGTACTTTTTAAGCTTAATAAGAGAAAGCTTAATAGTTTTATGAATGAGTCTTTGTGCATTTACCGACTCAGTCGCAATATCAGCAAAGGATTTCTAGGAATTGGTCATAAATGGTTCATAAAAACAAGTCGCTATATCCGAAATTGACGCTATAACCGAAGTCGCTATTACCGAATGAATTTCTTACGAAAGTATGCTTTAAATTAAAGGGACGTAAGTTTGACGTCGCTATAACCAAAAAAGTTGTTACAACCGAGGTCGTTATTAATGAAATCCACTGTAGATGGTTTCTGCAGATTTCATTAATAACGACCTCGGTTGTAACAACTTTTTGGTTATAGGACAATTTTGTTCTTCATGGTGCAAATGTATTCGGTATTTATTTTTTATTGCTTCCACTGAAGTGGTGAGTCTATTGCTTCTATTGCCTTTTGGTATATTCTGTTAGCCTTCCAATATCTCTTCTGAAATCCAATATCTTTTTTTGCCAGGCAGGTTCTTTATTTCGACTTTGGGTAGGTGTTGTGTTTGTGTCTCTGATTTTGGTTCCGTTAATTATAGCTACTGTGTACGCCACGCAGTAAATTATGGTCTGAGTGGTCTCAAAATCCTGCTCTCTCGATATGTGATTTGGTAATATTTTAGTGTTTATAAAATCTACAATTTGTGCTATCCTTTTAGAAGTTTTTTGTATTGGTATATAAGATCGTTCAGTTGGGTTGGTATTCCGAAATTTGTCTCTTGCTATTCTAAACAGTTCCTGGATTTTTTTCGCGTCGTTATTTTCTATTGCTTGGTTTTTTGAGGTTCAGAGGCTTGAGTGAATATCACTGATTCGTCAGGTTGAGGTTGTAAGGTTAAGCTAAGTGTATGCACGGGAGTGTTACTTTCTATAATGAATGGATGAACATCGGCTTCTTGTAAGTTTTCGGTTTCGGGTGTAAGGATCGTGTGTTGTGATGTGATAAGTGATGAATTATTTTCCATATTGTCTCGTCGGGAATTCAGGTTGCTTGATATATTGTCACGTATCTTTTGAAGTCTTTGGTCATTAATCATTTTATCGTTCAATATTACTCTGAGCTGATCTGATATTCGTTGTTCTCTTACACCTGTTAACTCAGGATTTTCTTCTATGACTGCTTGATGGAGGGGTCTACGGTAATCTGATTTATTTTCTTCAAGTTTGGTGATTTTATAGTAATTTCTCACAATAGATTCGTTTTGGTCAGCTGTCCATCGTCTTCTTTGTGTCAAGCCTTGCTGATTGCTAAAATGTGGTTGCGTGTGAGATTGCGTGATCGAGTCGGTTTGTATATGATTGGTATTACTGTGTGTTTGTTAGATACTGCAACTTCGTTCCTTATATGATCTAATATTTTTTGGGGAAGTAATTTATTTCTGAATATAGCTCTACATTGATTTCCAGCCTTTTTCTTGATGCCTGCATCTGCGGATATTTTTTAGAGAATTCTTTGTGTAGATGATCGAGGTACATTTTACTTTATATTGTATTTGCTATGTTGGGATATCTGTATAGTTTTCTCGTCTGGTTGGGTTCTATAAATATATAATTATAAATTAAAATGAGAAGATAAATATACATAAATATCTATAAAATAAAATAAATACAACAAATACATAAATAAATAAAGATCCAACCAGATGGAAGCCCTCGGCAGGGGAGACCAAACGGCCGAGGGTTAGGAGGAAAGGGAAAGAAACCGACGGACGATGCGGGCGGAATCGAGGAGCACTGCCTTCTGCATTTGAGCCCTGAGCGGTCCGTCACGGAGTCCCAATCGCGTCAGATGACCCCAGAGGATGACTGGGATTAGCCCATTCGCAGAGACGACTACAGAAATAATTTCGGCAGGCCGACCACCCCGCATGTCGGTCACCTCGTGAGCCAGGTCCAGATATTTTGTTCGCTTATCTGTTTCGGCTTTCACGAGGTTCTCGTCATACGGAATGATAATGTCGACCAAAAATATCCTTGACTGTGCCCAGTCCATCAGCACAATATCAGGCTTATTCGCAAGAATAGTCCTGTCTGTGATGATGATCCGGTCCCAGTAGAGCCTGGCGCGGTCATTTTCGATCACGGCTTCCGGCATATAATTGTAATACGGCAATTTCCGGTCCACCAGACCGTATTTCAGAGCGAGCTCCTGGTGTAGAGTTCTGGCTGCTAGGTTGTGCCTGTGCAAGTACTCAGAGTTAGAAAGTGCCGAACAACCGGAGATGACATGCCTAAGCGACTCACCGGGATGGCGACAAGCTCGACAGACGTCGACTGTGCCATCCTTTAGGATGTATCTCCGATAGTTGTTGGTCTTAATAACCTGATCCTGTATTGCACACAACCCCCCGAAAGTCGAAACCAGAATTGTATTACAAGCTCAGAACCTCCCCCGGACCCCCCCTACCTCTCCTTGCTCTAAGAAGGAACCCTTTATCACATACTCATTACAACACCCTGGGACGTCATGGTAGTGCGGACTTTTCTATCCAAGGCGTTAAGTTCGGTCTGAGTCCACCTGAGTATGCCAAAGATATACATGAGGACAGGCATGACCCAGCCGTTATATGCGTGTGTCTTATTCACACCGGACAAAAGGATGTTAAGCACTTTGGTCAAGCGTGCATAAAACACATAGCAAACTGACTGTTTCATACCTCCTAGCCTCATCGATACCGATGTTCTGTGATATACCCAGGTATCGGTATGTTTCAGCCTCGGAAAGGGTCCTTAAGTTGACGGGCATAGACAAGTCTATGCCCTCAGAGTTAGCAACCCTTCCCCTTTCAACATGGAGGACCGCACACTTATCCGTTCCCAGCTCCATTCCATTGGAATTGCTAAATTCACAAGTGATGTTTAGCAATTCCATAAGATGGGAGCGACTGGAGGCGAATAACTTGAGGTCATTCATATTTTCTATATGTATCAGATATATATAGGTGGGTTTTTGTCCCTCCTGCGTGACACAGCCTATGAACCCCTTAGGTTCTCCCAGCCAGTAATGGCCGATGCAGGCCCCAGTCGAGGACCCCGGAGTCGAAGCTTCGTACCAGGCGGCAGAGAAGTTCCGACGGTTGCGTTTCACCACTCCAATGACCGCGTCAATGAGGAGTGGTTCCTTGGTTCCACGACCACCGCCCCGACATCCATTTTGAGCGCGTGACAACGCACGAGTGATTCTCGTGCTCAAAATGGATGTCAGTGTCTTATATATGGTGGATAGACACGTGATGTGGCGGTATTTGCTCGGATCTGTGGTATCCTGATCTTTGGGAACCAAGTGAGTGATCCCAGTAGTGAAGTGGCTCGGGAGCGACTTCTGGTCGAGAGCCTCTTGAAACGGTCGGGCGAGCACAGCGTGACACCACGAACCCCTTCAGCCAGTAATGATGCAGCCCGTCGAGCCCCGGACTTTTCCTATTCGGGGCCCTACGGACCGCCTCAGCCACGTCTTCCGGCGTTATGGTGACGGGGTCCATGGGCGTAATACCCGCATACTGACTCGCCACAACTTCCATCCAAGGGCCCTCGCTGTGGTTTACGGGCTCTGACCACAGGCCACCCCAGAATGCGATAATGTCAGCCTGATTCGGTCCTTGGCCCGCTCCACATACCTTTGGTCGCTCCAATGATTTATAGAACCTCTTCTGATCACTCTGGAAGAGACGATTCTGGTTGAACCGCCTTGACCTCTCGGTAAATCGTCGAATCCGCTTCTCCCAAGCAGCGATCTTTTGCTTCAGGTCGTCTATGCCCTCCGTTAGTTTCTGCGTGATATCCGGCTGAGACAAACTGATATTTGTCCCAGTAAACGCCATCATAACGGTGCGCACAATCCTCGGTCTATTATTACCCGACCTGAAGCTTGCCAGAGTCTGCCGATAAGGGCCCGTGCCTTTGCGATACGGTCCTCGATTCTTTTTCTCCAGGCTGGGATGGCGCTACTTTGTGTAGTAGCGCGTCCAGCCATGGGAAGTTTGGCGCCAATAATACGACAAACTGCCACTGCGTCGCCAAAAAGAATTGAGTCCGTCTCGCAAAGGTCCCGGCTAGCTTCCAAATAGGTCACCAGCATTGGGTTAAGAGCCCTCACGACAGCCCGATTTCGCTTGCTTAGGGATATGCGAGGAAGTCGCGGTCGATTTTCGAGAGGGGTGCTGCGCGTTTCTAAAATCGCCTCATCCAATATGCTCCTCATTTGCTCTAGTTCGTGGGAGACTATTTCATCGTCGTTCGAATCAACCACAACTGGAAGATCCATGGCGGCTTCCACGTGTGGATGCTGGTCTGTCGCATGTGGAGCTGCATCCCCAGCCATAGCCGATTCATTCGATGATGGAATAGCCTCACGTCGTAGTCGTTCGAGTTCGGCATCATCAAATATTTTCGAGCGCATGATGTACCGAACTCGGTCTGCCAGGTTTTGTTCCGTGACGGGAATAGAAGGCTCCAGCGCAGCAAAAAAGCAATGCATCCGAGCCCTATAAGCTATTCCCACAGTTTCTTCCCCTTTCGCCCTATAGTACGCTCGCAATGCGTTTTCGTTCATAGCTTTTGTCCAACGCATGCGACGTGCTCCACCAGTGGCGGGTACTGCTTGCTGAGTCCGAGAAGACCCAGCCGACACCAAGCCTTGTGTGTGTGGTGGGTGTGGGAGGGAATGGGTGGGGATGATGGATGCGAGGGGCTGCTAGGTGATCGTGCAGCTCCTCGCGCTCGACTGGCGGCCCGCATGCTGCCGCGTCCAGCGCCAGCTCCAACCGCGCCCCGGTGACCCCCAGGCAGCGGCCCTATGCACGTTCCTTTCTGTGCCATCATCCATTTTATGGGCGCCAAATAACGGGAGACGCCCAAGCCCGGCACCGTTTCGTGGTTGGGTCATATGCACAAACGGACCTGTGCACCCACAATTTTGCCTAGGCACGGCGCTCACACCTCTTAGCAGGGCGCTGACTGCGCCGACGTAGCAGTTTTGTCACATAATTGTTCCGTCAGCGGGCGATGGGGTCGTCACTTCCCTACGCCTTAATTGCTTATTATTATTATTATTATTTTCCATTGTTGTCACGGTAGGCAGTCTGTTTGGCATCTGCAGTATTTTTATTATTCTGACCTGTTATGAGGGAAATGATGCTGCCCATATCCTTATGAGATAAAATAATCTATTTGTTAGATGTCCAAACCTACCTATAACTAACTTCATACTGCAATTGATATTAAATTAAAAAGGTGAAAACTGCTCGGGGATGTATATTGTATGTTAACTTTCATTTGAAACTAAGTAACAGTGGCCTAATAGTTAAGTGCGACAAAAAAAGTAAGAAGCATTAAATTACTAGCAAGCATTTTCAGTTTACTTGGAGCAAATAAGAGAGGTATTTGTAATGTTAATAGTGATGCTAGCAGTTAAATGTTAAATATTGAAAATAGGTTTAGTAAGATAGAATTTTGAAAGCCAGAACTTGAAAATTCCTCTGAATCTACTGCTTTAAAATTATATCTGCTAGTCTCATGGAGACTCTTACAGACTTCTAGAATATTGTGTACTTACAGCTTGCTGAACTAACAACAAATGGGGAAACATAATTCTAGAGTACTAGCCTCATACTAGTAAACGAATTATAGAGTGGCCCCCCACTAGATAGTGGCGATCTGGTAAGACAGGAAGTCGATGGATGTAGGTGGCTTAGGACTCTGTTGTTGCAGTGACGATTATTCATTGGGTGGTAGGAGCTTTGTGTGCCTAGGAGTCTGTCTGGGTGGTTATCTTCCTCTTACCTATTTCTCTAAAGACAATCTTCATCTAGGACTTGAGAGCCGTTAATGATAGATGATTCACTGGGTGGTAGGAGCTTTGTGTGCCCAGGAGTCTTTCTGGGTGGTTATCTTCCTCTTACCTATTTCTGCTACAGAGCAGCAGTAAGTGCTTCAGTCTGAAGGATATTGAGAGCAAGTATAATAACTGGTGGGTGACAAACGAGCACATAGCCCTGATGGTAAGTGGATGTTGTAGCCACAGACATCTACATTTATCCTAGATTAAAAATTAAATGCAGATGCTTTGTCAAGGACTACGTCCGAAGGCCTCATTTCCAGTGAAAAGATTCACCTGTTCTCCACACTCACCATACAAAACGCATTAAGCTACTATTTTACGCTGGTATTCTGTGAGAGGGTGGCCCTTGCCCGGTCAAGCTGACCCATTCATGCTACAACTATACTACTAATATAA